ATTGTCAGCTTCATGGAAATTTCCCTCTCATGATTTTAAGCATATAATTATTCCTGCATGTATATTTGTATATCACTATACAAAAAAAATAAATTAGGCGTGAGTCTTGGCGCAGCGATAAGATTACTCTAGTGTTTCATAGACATTAAGGGTTTAAGTGTTGAAAACAATTTCTTCGTTTACCATGGTAAAACTATGTACATCTAATCTTGTCTTGTATCCTAGATCATCATTTTTTTAAATATAATCAACTATCAAGAGAAATAATATTATTTTTCTCACATAGGAATAAAATCTAGAGAGAAGCTTGAGAGGGCCACAATTCCCAAAAAGGGGTTACAGAAATCAATTCATTCCTTGACCCCTTGATTGGAAAAGTCTTTAAAAAATTAAAAATGACTAACTAGGCTAAGTCTAGTAAGTTCAAACGTCTTAAGAATGAAAATATATAAGTTTTTTTGCTCATTCTTTTACTGAAGTTATCTAGGTAATTTTCATATTTTCCAAATATATTGCTGCCAATGTCCCATATTCTATGTCAGACATGAGCTATGTGACATATCACTAAAAAATGAGTAATCTGCTCAAGACCTTAAAATCTAATTTAATTTACTAAATAAAAAGTTGTAAGAGTATAATTTTTGTAATTATGATACTGTAGTTCGTGTCTATTAATCATATTTTGGATTGCAAGTGTGCCAAAATTTGAATGTACTTAATTTACAAACACTTACGACTTTACTTATTCGAACTGCTTTAAGCTTTTTAAATCGTGATTGTTCAAGTAATTAAAATGAATTGTATGATTATTTTTAAATTTTTTTTTCTTTGCCTTGAAGATCAAACACTCAAACTATTCCCTCTAGGAGCAGGTTAGCAAATTAGGAATTGAAAGCAAACTAGAATAGGAACGAACAGCAAAATAAACAACAAACAAGACCTATTACAAACTAGGAATTGAAAGTAAACTGGAATTGGATTTGAACGGAGAAAAGTCACTAGAGTAACGACAAAGGAAATCACAGAATGGAGTAAAATAAAAGATTATAAACTTAAACAGTGTAGAAGAAGGCTCTGGGATACTGCTTGTGTCTGTGTTGATCTAGAGATCCTCTCAATGTTGCATGTGTCTCTGTATTTATAAGTGATGACTTCTAACTGTTGGAACCATCTTTTTTAGTCACTAAACTAACATCCATGGCCTCTCTTTCCAACGGCTATCAACGTGCGTCAAAATCATTTTCGATAGACTATTTCATGATGTCACGAGTGTCACGTTTCTTCGTATCCCAAGATCTTTGGAGAAAATTACTCATAACCGTTTTATCTCACTTGAAACTTCTCTGACTCAATTTTGGTTGTTAAATATTGTCACGTATCATTCTCAGATTTTTTAATATTAGTGTGTAAAACTGTGTATATATTCACTAAAAGTCACTTTTGGGATTAAATAAGTGAAACACATCTACTAAATAAGTGAACTTTTCAATCAATGGAATTTTTGGTAGTGAAACACATATTTCAACATCATAATTCAGACAGTAAAATTGTGTAGCTGACTGCAAGTTGTTGTATAATCTGATGACCGAATGATTTTGTTGATTAGTACTATTTTTTTGATTGTTTGATTAGTACTAGTTCTAGTCTAAAAACTATAATTGATCAAAGAAAATTTGTATATTACTGTTAAAAAATCGAATAGTGAATTTATACTGTTGAAGGGGCTGAATTTATATTACCCAGGTTGTAGCGTAGTTGACTTTCAATAGAGGGGTGAAAGTCTCGCCCTTTTCTAGTGGTCATGAGTTTGAATCCATTTGCGGTAGTATTTTCTATGAACCAGATACTACTGGAGGAACTGAATGTCTAGTTTGTCCTCAGTGAAGCTGTGGTGACGTACTCAACCATCTCAAGTCAATAGCTATTACTCAAATCAAACATTTTACAGTAGGTGGAAATCTCAAGTTAACGTTTTGAATCAGTTGTTGCGTCTAGTCGTCCCTAACCACTCTTTCAATGAGAAAAAAAAAAAGAATAGTGAATTTATTTTTCACTGCCATAAATTGGACAATGAAATTTGTATTTTGTTATCCAATTCCCTATTCTAACAAGTAAAATTGGAAATTAAAATACACCCCAAAACGTGATCTGCATTACAATAGTAGCATCCAATTACATCCCCAGCACCATTGAATATCCCACCAAAAAGACACCAACAACAACAACCCACCAAAAGCAAACCCATTGAATATCCTACTAAGATTACACCAACAATCAGCTAAAGCAAACACATAATTCAACCACTAAACCCACGCAGAGTCGCGCACTTTCGTTTCAGAGCATCAACCATATCCACGACAGTGAAGTGTTAACAATTTAGGGCTTTTAATTTTACCCATTAACACGAATTCGACACAACTCAAAACTGATACGGGTAGCAAATGGGTCAAATGCGATACTTGTCAGATACTCAAAGATATGTATCGAATAAACATTAAACGAATTCAAAAATAAATAAAATATATTGATACTTCGCAGATATTTCTATATGTATATAAATATGTAATATTTAGTTTTAATCTTTACCCCTTCGATTTCACATACAATGAAATATATCAACCATAATACATATGACTTTGAAGGCACATGGATGTTTTCTAAATATGCGTCCAAAGTGTATAAATGAATTGATTGCAAAATAATCTTAGCAACAAACACTTCTCAACAAACAATCTAGTTAAATGTTGGTTCTTATTTCTTTAAAATTAATCACAATCACTTTGTAGATGTACTATAATGAGATAATAGGTGACTCTTTGAAATAAAAAAATTGTTAATGTTGTCTAACCACATTGTAGCTATCAAGTTGTTACATAATAATATAAATATAAGATATATATTTTTATAAACGTATCATAATCGTACCCATAGCCTATTTTTTAGAGTTTTATTGTATTGATATATGTGTATCGTATCATACTCGTATCTCATATTCGTATCTGTTCTTTCTAATATGACACCCACCCACGCCTCTCTCTCTCTCTCTCTCTCTATCTCTCTAACTAACACCATCTGAAGGGCAACTAAATCTCTTCAATTTAATTCTTGACAAATCATCCACCATTAATGAGTTAATGACTCACTTGGATATAATGAGTCATACTTGAATACATAGTAAGTGATCCACCAAAAAAGAAAAATGTTTTTTATTCGAACATATATTTTTACTTTTGTTATGTAGTTGCGGGTATATTGCACTTAGGATGCTATGTAATGATTTTGTTACTTTTTAATAAAATGTTGTATATTTTTTTAATTTTTGTTTGGTGGATGCAAATTATTTTTGTATTAAATCAATTGATTTGAGCAATTTATTGGATATACATATATACCGTAAAACGTAATTTATAAAAAAAACATATATATTTTTTTGGAGCTGAGATTTTTTGCTGATCGGCAACTTAAATTTTCAAAATTTTTATATTTTTTTTTATTTTTTTTTTGTTCAATGGTCAATGGTATTTGTGTAAGTTTATGCACACCTCGATTAATCCTCCCTCCAGTCTTATCAAAGGTAGATCATCTATGCCGAGATTAAAATATTTATAAGGGATAATTCCTCATGACTTGACTCCAAAAAATTATTAAAATTCAAATTCAAAATATCTAAATTTATAATTCTTCTAAGACTTCTGGCTTTATAATTTCCTTTTCGTCAATATGCATGGTCGTGAAAGGGTAGTGAACAACCCTCTCCGATATCTGTATGCCCGGAAGGTTGCTGGCCAGCAATAAAAGTGAATTAGGAAAAGAATTGAGTTAGCTTACTTGGTAATCTAATTTATCGTATTTTTAAGGACATTCTCTCTAATATTTAAAACATCATTGATACATTTTCTAGTTTATATTTAAACATCTCTAACGTCTTCTGTAAATAAACCATCATTTCTAATAAAAAAAAATTATCTAAAATACTAAAATTGTCTTTACATAAACCCCAAATTATCTTTTTACATAAAATTCAAGCAGATTAAAATTTGGCCTTATTAAAATTCAATTCGAGCTGATTAAATTTTATTTTTTTTACGTATTAAAATTTGAGCTACTAAATTTTTTTTTTATGCATTAAAATTTGAATCGATTGGAGTTCAACCTGAGCTATTAGTCCTAATTAAAATTCAATTCGAGTCGATTAATATTTATATTTTTTTTACTTATTAAAATCTGTGCCACTTAAAATTCATTTTATATATATTAAAATTTGAGTCGATTAAAATTTATATTTTTTTATATATCAAAATTCAAGCAGATTAAAATTAAATGCAAGTTGATTAAAATTTGATTCGAGCTAATTAAAAAAAAATTATTCGGCTTGAATCGAATTTTAATACATACAAAAATTTATAAGATAAAAAGAGTTTAATTGAAGATATGTCTATCTAGAGGGGGTGTTGATTAAATTTTTTCTAAAATATATCGTGAACAATTTAGTAAAATTATATTTTAGTTAAGGACTTTAATTTGACATGTGGCACCACTGAAAATTTAAAAATTAGAGAGGGTATCATTGAAGATATAGTAAACTAGAGGGAGTTTGACTGAAATTTCCCTTAAACAAAGATATGGACCAAGAGAAAAACAAAAAGCCCAAACCCAATATTTTTTTTTTTAAATAAAAATAAATGGGCCATCAATCTAAGTGTTTTAAAGCACAGCAAATACAAGCCCAACAGTATCATCTGTAACATATTAATAATGAAAAAAGAAAAAAAAATTGATTTGAATACAAGATAAGCGATCTAAAGTCAAGGAAAAGAGGAATACTCTATTGAAACCTAAAAATCGGATTTAATCTATTGATCTAATGATGTGATTTTATTATAACCGTTAAATTAACACTAAATTTTAATATTTGATGAAATCTATGATCAATTCAAATAACTATAGTAAATTAGGTAAATAAATTATATTAATAAATTAAATCTCAACATCCAATAACATTGCTCTATGTTAAAACAGGACAAAGACAAACATGTTTGCATGCAGGCAAAGGGACACAATATATGACTTGGTAAATTCGTATGTAATTTCAATGGAAAATGCTGCTTCTGATTTTCCAACCTACGGGGAAGGTCCGCGTTTACAACGGTTCTCGTAGGTACAACGGCGGCGGGGAGAAGAAATGCGGGGAATGCAACTTCCATAATTTTTAGGGCTGCACACAGCAAGTTTATTAGGATTGAGGCCCGAGACAGGAGGAATTTGGCCAGTTCGAGAACCAGCCTTAGGGGAGGGTCGTGCATGTACTTTCATCTTACTGTCATACTCTGCAAAAAAAAATCATGAAAATGAAATATCAGTGAGAGGAAAAAAAAAAAGAGGGAGAGAGAATATCCAATGTGACTGTGCTATTTAGGATTATTAACGGATCAGATCTTATTCTATCTAGATTTGAATTCAATAAACAAAATTCGAATTTTGAATCCAATTCGTTTATCCGATAGATTTTAAAATCTTAATTCATATTTGCATCCACTAATAATTAGTTATCCGATCTAATTATTCGATCTAATCTTAAAATTTAAATCTCAACAAAATTTCATAAAAAATTAATAATTTTAATTTCATGTCAATCTCATTAATAATCTAACTATATATGTATGTACGTATATATAATAATTTTTCTATGTATATATATATATATATATATATGGAATCAATTTTTTATCGAATCAAATTTACATGTATCCAAATTCAAATCATATTTGGATCAAATTCGAATAAACATATTACAATGTTAATTTATATCCGATTAAATGAACTTGAATCGGGATTAATCATTTTACTATGCCTATCTGCAAAAAAAAACAGTGAACCGAGAGAGAGCTTTTACTGCTAGGCGTAGAGGCTAGTACTACTCCCGCTGGGACGATGATGAGCCAAATGATGAAGCAGCAGCATACGATCATGAAAGCAATGGAAGAAGGAGTTTTGTATGACATTTTTGCAATATGATCTAAAGGAGGATGCATGTGCTTGGCAACCACAAACGTATATATATGCCTTCCACCACATGAACTTGATAAGGGTGAAAGAAGACTCCAAAGACTTGTGTTTGGGAAAATTATGCTTTGACCCCTTAAGTATGATTATTTTTTATATTACCCCTTCAACTATTATTTTTTTAAAATTTTGAGTCACAATTCCCTAAAAATTAGTTACAAGACAAAAAAATCCATACGTGATTCATTAATATAATAGATTGTTTACCGTGTATTCAAGTAGAACTATTATCTATAAGTGAGCTTGTCATTTATACATTGCGAGTAATCTATAATTGAATGAAATTTAGTAAATATGACCCATGGTTCAAAGTTTTGCTTGGTTCCAAATTTTCGATTTGGGATTCAACACATGCTAATGCGGGTTATTGCTATCCTAATGCAGTTGGTCTCAATGTGATTGTTAATGCTAATAACTATTTTGTTTAGTAAGGACAAGCTATCCAAGTCACTAGTCATTTTTTTTTTAATAAAATCTCGACGATGCGAGGATATATTTTATTAATTCCAAATTAAAGATAACAAATTGCTAGGGGAGGACATAAACCTCAACCCTTTAAAATAAATATAAATACAGCATGATAAAATTAATTTCATGATGTTTATAAATCAAAGAATTCCAACAAAAGTCTACCAAAAAGTGACTTTAATTTCACCATGATCCAAAAAATCTGATACTCCACTAGATGTAATAGAGCCTAGATGGAATGTAGATAATTTTTCCTCCTCAATGCTTTGATTTTCCGTTGATCTTGCTACACTAATAAACGAGTCATTGAACTAATGATTACAGCGTAAATCTCAAATATATGAACTATCATCAAATTACATATGTATTAGTCAAGTTCATGTTTTAAGCAACTAAGGACACTTAAACTCAAGATGTATGAGTCTTCATTCACGCATTGTAAGACTACTAAGCCAATCCGTGCAAGTTAATGCGAATAACTATTTAAAAGAGTGGCTAAACTAAGAAACTTTAGAAGTTTAGGGATAGAATTTATATAGAGCAAAAAAGTTGAAGACAACTTGTCAATAAACCCTGTGTAAGTGTAAAGCAAGAAGGAACAGTTCAAATGGTAGGTCCACAATAATGAAGAAAATTGAGGGAGGAGAGGTCATGAGGATACAAACATTGACCTTGGGTCAACCTAGTCTACTGAAAGACCAAGTCAAGTGTCCCCAAAGATTAGATGTTCTGTCAGATTCCTTTCCAGTTTTTCTCTATTATGGCCTTATATGCAGGTTCTCATTTTGGATGGTTCATCCTCTTTCTATTGTAGTCCATTAATTTTAATATTGATACATCTCTGTTCCTCATGTGAAAATATTGTAATGTTGGTATATTAAAGTCACTAATGCTATTGGAACATAATTTAGAAATTTAAATGATCATTAAATTGATAGTGTTGGGACGCAGTGATAATTTAATGTTGGAACCCATTAACAATTTAATCTTACTTGACTTATCTGCAAAAAAACCCAGGACCGTGACGTGGGTAAGAGTTAAGACCGTGATACCGAAGGAAGTAACAGAACTTAAAATTCGAGCAAGTCTAGAATAGCATCCTAGAACTCTTTTTGGGTTCCTTTGATACTATATTAGTCGAGCGTTAATGTGCTTATAGAGTAAGATTATTCTACTATCAATGAAATCGAGAAAAACAAAAAATAAGACCGGTGCATTTCATATAAATTGAAACTTGTAGCTTGATTTAATAAACAAAAAAAATATAAAAAAATTAACAAAAAAATATATTTTTTGGGTCAAGTTATTCTTTTTTGAGTCAAATTACTCCTCTTGGGTTCTATTTATATACAACTTTTTGGAGTGTTTAAAATTGATCATAAAATCTTAGAATAATTTTAAATTGACCATAAATAGCTCAAAAAGTTATAATTTTACGCCCAAAAATTGTATTTTACAGTATTATTCACAAAGCATTTTCAGATTGGTACCCTTATACAAGAGAGAGAGAGAGAGAGAGAGAGAGAGAGAGAGAGAGAGAGAGAGAGAGAGAGAGAGAGAGAGAGAGAGAGAGAGAGAGAGTTACTGCTAGGCGTGGAAGCTAGTATCCGGGCAGACATGACTGGTTGGTTGAAGATGAGCCAAATCACGAACAAGTAGCATATGATCATGAAAGAAGAAGAAGAAGCAGCAGCAGCAGCTTTGTATGCCATTTTCATATGTGACTATGGATAGGATCACAAATACAACTTAACCCCCCCCCCCCCCCCCCACACTCCAAACCCACCCACCCACCCACGATGGAAAAAAAAAGTGGAAGGTACAAGCTCTGTCCCCCCTATGAGCTTCAAAAATATTTATCCAACCCCCGTCCGCCCTCGTTAGTAGGTGAAATTTTAATCCCTGTCCCGCAAATAAATTTTGATCTCCGTCTCTATTCATAACAATTAATTTATATGATTTTAAGAAAAAAAAATCATAAAACTCACAAATGAATTTGCAAGGAGGATGAAAACACATTATATATTTCTTTTAATGAAATAAATCATGAAGCAAATATGGGAAAAAAAATTAGGTTTAAAGCAAAAAAATTGATCAATGAGTTGGGATTGGATGACACAAAATGTACATCTCAATCCACAAAAAACAATAACAAATAAGAAGTGTAAATCACTTCTTATTTATTTTACATCACTGTAAAAAAGGCATAGAAATAATATATTAATCCCATCTATGCTACTTTTTATTTTACATCATACCATCTAAAGTATGGCCTTAGAGAGTACTTAAACACCTCAATTTCTTTATGCTCTGCCCATAATGTAAGCACAACACTGCTAGTCAAAATGAAAGGCCATCGGGATGTTTGACAAAATCAAATGCCTAGAGAAAAAACATTAGTGACAAAGAAAGTATTATATAATTCTATAATTTTATAATTTTAGTATCTAAAACTCTAAAAGCATAAAAATCTTGATACCAAAAAAAATTCTATAATTTTTTCTTGTATATCCTATCTAGTGAAATGCTATAAATCAGAAAATTAAAATAAAAGTTATTTAGACTCAAGACATATAGGTAGCCTAATACAAAATAGTTCATACACCAAACCAAAAAAATGTGAACTACAAGTGAACCAAATATGAACTCAATTCCTGTTATCATACACCCAAACTCATATCAAGTGAATCACAAAAGAACTTCAACATTAATAACACAAACGCGAGAAGAAAAAAAGAAGAGCTCAATAATTTTACCTTGTTGATCACTAAACTTTTTGCTTGTACCAAGTTGCCCTATTTTGCAGGCCAACAGGAACCAATTCTTTCTTCTTTTGCAAAGGAAACATGAGAAACATAACCTAATGTCAAACTAATGAATCCAAGCATCAAATTTACACGTTATTTTTAACTTTGGCGATGGTCAAACACAAAGAAATGGAACTGATATTCCTAGTATAGTAGTCGTAGCCCATAATTGGTATATGAGAGAGAGAGAGAGAGAGATAGACGTGTCTATGAGCATGAGAGAAAGAGAGAAGGATACGTATATGAGAAAGCATGAGAGATACAGATGTGTGAGAGATGGAAGTCTGGAGTTATACACGAGGTGAAACTCTTAGTCCAAGAGTGGAAAAAAAAATTAGGGAGTAATTAGGATTGTTGGATCAAAAGTCTATAACTGATTTGAGTCGTGAAAAGTTCGAGACAAATAAAGTTATCTCCGTTATTATATAGATAAGATGTATTAGTATGTTTAATGGATATATTGGGATAAAGAATTTTGATGTGTTTTTTAAGTAGGGAATTAATATAAAACTACTAAATATGACAAAATTTTAAGTGGTCACAAAGAATTTATTAAACAGAAAATACAATAAAATGACTTTTTTGTTCCAACTTTTTACCTCCAAAAAAAAATAAAAACCGTTTATGTTTTCTATTTTATAAAAAACAAAAAAAATTATCAAACGCAACCTAAATTGAAACAATAAAAAATTCATGGACTATTTTAAAATAAGTGATAAATTTTAAAGATTAATTATGATATTTATCCAATAGAGTATCTAAGCGAATTGGATATGGATGTCCAGCATTAGGGATGATACTAGACCGGGGGAAAGTAGAGATTCGTTCAAACCCACCCTGTTTGGACCGAGAATGGATCATACGTATTGAATGACGAAGGTATATAGGGACACCCGTATGAACCTGTACGGGAATGGAGATGGGGATGGACCGACACTTACCCCCTTCCTGGCCTTGCCCTGCCCCGCTACACCTGCTAGATTTTTAAATCTATATATATATATATATATGTGTGTGTGTGTGTGTGTGTGTGTAATATTAAGAAAGAAAATTGTACCCTGTTACACGTTTATATACCATCTTCCCTTCACAAAAGTAAAAGAGTAATTTCTCAGAATTAACATTGCATCAATTAACTTGAGTATGATAGCTTAATGACTATTGTGATACATATAACAAATTCAACTAATGAATTTTAACTCATGTCATTAATCAGTGACTGTGAAATGAATCTCTTTTTGATTATTAAAAAAAGAAATGAATCTTTTTTTTTTATCTATGAAACGAACTTAATTGGTCATATTATTGAGAAATATGTTTCTAACAGAATATTATGTCCAGTGTGATGAACGGATCAGGGCAAGGATGGGGGCGGAGATTAGAATTTACCCCGCAAGGAAGGAACGGGGATTAAAATCTTTTCTCTTTAACAGGGATGGATCGGAGATGGACAGAAGATTTTTAAGCGGATATGAGGGTGGAGACTATTACCCCTGCCCCTGCCCCAATCCACTGTCATCCCTATCCAGCATGTTTAATTTATGTAAACATTTATCTTGAACTACCAACACCTATCATTGCAAGTAGTATTTTTTTTTGAAAGTAACTAAACATATATAACAGTGACTATGCAATATGCACCATCATGCGATCTTTGTCATA